ATGCTGCCAATTATTAGTTCTTATGTCAATCTTCGGGCTTATCTTCCATCCTTAGGTGTGTGACGCCTACTAATAATTTCTTCCAATTTCTTTTCTTTCAATTTGCACGAGTTACATTCTACACCGTCTTAAGAAATTTGATTGGTGTTAGGTTTTCTTAAATTATCTCATTTTCTTTCCCTTTTATGTCACGTCCAATTCTGGTCATGTTCACTTGGTTTTAATTTGTTTCTTTATTTCAATTCTAACAAATCAGCAACTTAATTTTCCTAGAGGTCCTAATTCAGAATCTTAACAAGTAAGAGGATTCATATAAGAGAACTAGACTTTTGGAAGAGAAAACTCAAGTAGTATTTCTCAACAATGATGCAAAAGTGTCATCCATATGTAGGTTACATGTATATATAGGATTTGGTGGCTTGTACTATAAGTTAAGCTAAACTAGGTTAGGTTAACTTAGGCCAATGAGAGTGTACCATGTAGTAAGATAAGAAAAGTGTGACTCATGTCACCATCCTAGATCTAAAATAACCTATGGGAGATTGCCATGTGGCATAGTGTGTTTGGTTAGACTAGACAAAAATGCATGACATTTTGGCTCCTTAAATGGCCTAATAGACATCCTTGTCTCCTCCATGTTGGACGTCCAACACACTATTTGCAAGTGTGTTGTGCAAGTGGACATTCCACAATACCTTTCAAGCCCAATAAGTCCAAGTAACCTTTTCTAGTTACACCACTCCTAAAATATTATTTACACCCCTAAAATAAAATACAAGGACATAAATTCCTACATTACTTGACCACAAATACAAGGTCAAAATAAGGAAAAATATTTACAAGGAAAAATATATACAAAGAGAAAATGGACTGAATAATTAACCTATAACTTAAAAGGAGCTTAAGCCTTTTACCTTCATCAAGAGCCCGTTCCTCTTACATCCTCCTTGACATTTCCCTTGTGATAGGTCCTATGGTAGGCAATATGTCATCACCTTATATCTCAAAAAGGGCTTAGGCCTTCTACCTTCACCACAAGCCCTTTCCTTTTGCTTCTTCCTTGACATTATCTTTATGATAGGTCTTGTGGTAAGCAATATGTCATCAGAGAAGTTTGCAATTTTTATTATTTTCATGTTGTTTATGTTGATTTCTAGTGTTGTCTTACCTATTGGTGACAATTTGAGTTGATTTTGATGAGGGTAAAATTGGTTGTTAGGGTTCTTGTTGAGAAAGTTGTGGTTTCATTTGATTTGTGATATATGATCATTGTATATAGTGTTTTTGTTGATTTATAAGTTGTAAAAAGTGAGTAGAATATTATTTTTGAGTTGTATGTTGAGATCATGAAGTATGTTAACTAATTTTTAAAGTGAGAAGGTAAGTTTCTACGAAGGAAAACTTTGTTCTTGCCCAACAAGATGAACATGGTTCCCAACACGCATGTATGGATGAAGAATAACTACTCAGAATCATAACCTCGCTCAATTATAGAAGCATTGCCTAACAAGAAAATGGTTGTGAGTAGTCTTGCCTAGCAAGACATAGGGCGACCGATGATAGAACCCATAGGGAGTTTTGCTAACTCAATGAGCTATGGTCTCCTAGTGCGAGAATCCATAGGGAATTCTGCTTGCTCAAAGAGTTAAGGCTGCCCAACAATGAGCTTAAATGGTGTTTATTCCCTTGAAGAGCCAGAGCTCACCTAGTGAGGAAAGCCACATGATTTTTTTCTTGCTGAGTGAGAGTAGCCTACCTAACGACGAGCTCTAAAGAACTCTGCTCGTTTAGTAAGAACCTTGTTTTATAACTTGTTTATATATTGTTTTTACCTATCATGTATTATTGTAAGTTGATTAATAGTTGAAGCTTTTTGTAATACATTGTTTAAGTTTAAGGAATCATGTTGTATAATGTTGAATTGAAGTACATTGGGTTGAATTAAGTGATGTTTCCAAATGTCCTATGTTGTATTTTGAATGCGTTGAAGTGGTTAAGTTCAACTAAGTTGTGTTGAGAAATGTATGATGTATTTTTTTACGTTGTGGAGTTGAACTTAGGACTAAATAAGAATAAGTTGTTTTATAAGTTGAAAAATCCTATTATGTGAATATAGGTTATGGTAATTTATGCGCTCGAAGTTGAAAACCCTTTTAGTGAGAAAGTTGCCTCTTGAAGTAGAGAGTTGTTTTTCAAAACTTGTCTCATCTAGATTGTTAGTTGATACAATATAGGACTAGATTAAGCCATGTCGTTTATGTTTTGACGTATAAAATAAGGTATGAAGTCAAGGGCTAGAATTCCTAATTGAGTGTTGAAAAGGTGTGCACTATTTGGAGGGTAGTCAATAGGTTAAATTCATATAAGTTTAGTTGATGCATACTAATGTTGCGGTAAACTTATACCCAAGTTGTTCTATTCCTAACAATAGTACTAAACTATCCTACTTTAAATGGCAAAATCCGAGAAATCAAACAAGTTGTTGAATAAGCATTGGTATGCTAGAAGTTGTGTTGACTTGACCCAACTTAGACTGTTCACCTATATTATGAGGGATATCTTAGTTGAAATGCGTGAGGACATATAAAGTAACTGAGTTGTAAAGATGTATATTTTGTTGAATGTTGAGATGTAAAGTTTCTAAGTTGTATGTGTTATGAAGTTACCTCTTAAGTTGATTATTTGTGTTGTATGAAGTTGAACGTTTGATGTTCTTGCTTAGTTGAAGTTGATGATGTTTATATAGTTAGCCTACTAATTTTTATATTATATCATATTATATATGGAGAAAAGATAAATACTAAAAAGGGGTTGAATAGTATATATCAAAAACTCACACATTTTCTATAGTAAAGTAGTAATGCTAGTTAGATGAAGCAAGAAGAATAGTTAAATGAAATACCGAGTATTTTTATACTGGTTTATCTCAACTACCAAGACTACATCTAGTTCTCAATCCAACCATATTGAGTTCCACTATCTTTAAACAAAGATACAAGTATTCTTTTAATAAGCTAATTTTGGCTCAACCCTAAGTATTCTTTGACTTGCCTCTTCAAGCAACTATCTAAGTATTCTTTTAACAACAATCTCTCCAAGCTTAACAATCAAGTATTTTTTTGCAGTCAAGCTTTTCTAGGCTCAAGAACAAGTATTCTTTTTTAGACAAGCCTCTCTAAGCTCAACCTTATAACAATGGTTATGAAGGTTATAAAGAAGTTGTGTTCGTTTCACTAAGACATTAGATAAACAATTACAGAGAAATGGGTATTTACAAGAATGAATAGATTTATAGAGATTGAATTTCCATACAAATGTATCTATGTAAAATTTTGTATCTCTTCATTCTTGTGTAGAGTCTTCTTATATAGTAATTAGAAGAAGATGACCATTGCAACACTTTGAGTCCAACTCACAAATTTGTTTCATTTGTCTTCATTGTCTTTCCTTGTTATGATAGGTAACTGTTCGACTAATTTAATGCAAGCATTAAATGTATTTTACCGAATGATACCTCTTATCTAATCAATAAGGCTACTTATCAACTTCCCATACCAAACGGAGCTTGTAGAAGCAACATTAGTGCAAAGCAGCTATGCTAGTGACTTTATATCTACTTTTCTCCGTGATTTTAGGGATTTGGTTTTGATGGAAAGCAAAATTCTTCTCTTTAACAAATTTGTGAATTCCAAGATAGTCTTTTGATTTGATCTATTAAGGAATGAAACATTCAAAGCAAACTTTTTCGTTAGTCTCAATAAATGATAAATATTTAATGTATATGAGGCAAACTATATGCTTCGTCTGATTGGCAATGTCTTACACTTCATTTGATAAGTTTTTCAAAGATACATTTCAAAGATGTGTTTTCACATGCATTTCTTCTATATAAAAATACTTTGTTTGTTAGCATTAAAACTCTGAGTTTAGGGGATCGTATTTTGACTTAACACATGTTTAATCTTTTTACACAAACTTACCTTTACTTTTTCATGTGTTGAACTACAATGATCATACTTGATATAAGAGCAAATCAAAATTAGTTTGGATGGCGAACACGATGGTTGACCATGCAAGATATGACATTTTTGTTCAGAATTTTTATTTGAAATGAATATAATACTAGGAATACAACAAACTGAGTTGTAGAGAAATGACTCTATTTTATTAATAGTAGCCTTGGCTTAAATAGCCAATTAATACACGTTTGCACTACAATGGAAAATAGGCGAAAATAAAGGCTAGTGGTAACAAAAATGAGAAAACAACAATATTTCAAATCTAGATATATATTCCTAAAGACTAGAACTTATCGGTAAACCAAGATATTATTCAAAACAGAAAAACTACATTAAACTCCATCAATTTTGTGGAGGTTGTTCTGATACAACTTTATGTAAATGCTTAAGTGACAACTTAAGATTTTAGCCTTTTAATATTGATATTTTTTTTTATATGTGTACAAGGATTTGTTATAACTCCATCAAGGATTTTGTGTTTCCCAATTGTTATAAGCAATGGTTGTTTTATGTTTTTTTTATACCATATACATATACTTATTGTATAAATATTCAAGTATTGCTTGCATAAATATCTTAGGTTTGAAGATGTTTATGTTTTCTACTACTTAGTAATTATGTTAGTAAGTATAGTGATTTGACAATAAACATTATAAGTGGGAGTAAAATATAAAAGTAACATGAAACGTAAAAAAACTTAATTTAAAATAATTCTAATAAAATAAATTTGATATTAAAGACACAAAATTGAATTAATATCTTTATTAAATTAAAAAATTATAATAATAAAAATGAATAAAAAATAATTATAAAAAATTAAAAAATATATTTTAAATTATAGAGATGAACATCAAGTGAAAAAGCTATATAGACTTAAAAAAGAAAATTAACCAAAAACAATTTAAAATAATTATATTCTAATAATAATTTGACGCACACACGCGTAGTTGTAGTAGACACAGGTATTTGAGTTTGAGAGGGGGCGAAGGCGAAACATTTTAGTGTTTTCCTTCGAGAATGAGAAAAAAGACTGTAGGCAAACGTAAACCGTCGTCATTCCCACCTGTGACTGTTCCTTCCTTCTCCGCCATTCCGCTCCTTTGGGCATCTCCCGAACCTGGACCCGAACCTGGAACCGAACCCGTGGATTTGTTGGACAAGAGCATATGCATATGTTGCGATAATAAAGGAGAAGGCGAGGAGGGAGTTCTGGTTTGCCACGAAAGTGGCTGCCCCATCAGCGTCCACGCCAACTGCATCGGTTCCGAACCTAAATTCGACGGTTCGGGTAACTTCTACTGCCCCTACTGCTGGTACAAGCGCGCCGTCGACACGTGTCAACAGCTCAGGGAGAAGGCCCTCGCCGCGAAGAAAGCCTTGTCACGCTTCTTAGACACCGACGCACGTGCGGATTCCGCTGGCGCACGTGCGGGCGCGGCGCAGGATGCGGAATCGGAATCGGAATCCGAAGAGAATAAAGACGGAGATGAGAGCAAGGTGTCTCTGAATGCGTCGCGTTGTTCTGTGAGTGAGACCAATGATTCGGAATCCAATGTGGAATCAGTGACAGTGAGGAAAAGGAAGGATGCTTCTGCGAAGAACTCGTTGTTTCAACAAGAGCATGAGCATGAGCATGAGCATGAGCATGAGCATGAGCATGAGCATGAGCATTGTAACGCTGAAGGGAAAATTGCTCGTGACGTAAACGAGGAGGAGGTTACGAGCTTCCGAAGTTTGAGGAAACTTCAGAGGTCACCGGGGAAAATGTGAGTCATTTGCTGAATTTTTTGAATGATCTGTCACTGTGTTGAGGGACTAATTTGAAGCATTTTTCAATATTTTAGGGACTATGTAGCATGAGTTTTAATACTTTAGGGACTGCTTTTATAATTTTATAACTTTAAGGACGGGTAAAACACCATTTGAGTTATGAAAGTGTATGTCGCCGGCACTTTGGTTTGTGAATGTATAAAAATTCAAGAATAAGTCCTTGAAAGTGTTGAACATGGTCCAAAATTCAAAAAAACATGTGACTTAGATGATAATATTAACGTATATTTAGGGATTAAAATGATAATAAGTGATTACTTTTAGGGTCTTAAATGAAACAACTAAAACATTCAAGGATTATTATTGTTTATTTATTTATTTATTTTTTAATTTTCTCACTTTCAAAGATTATAGTGTCAGTGTTATGGACTTTCAGGAACCGAATAGTATTTTACCCCTTTAAGGACTTATTAGGAGAGAAGGAAATACTTTAAGGACTATACTGATGGTTTATTCATTGTAGCAGTTTAAAACCTTGGATGTATAATTGAATGAATGCTTTATGCTATCATAGGAATTTGATTTTTCAAGTGGGTTGGATGGAGACTTGCTTTCTGTTAGCTAAGTAAAGGAGCCAATTCAAATATTCAGTCTATTGTTTCTCAATTGCAGGATGAAGCGGTTTTCACTGACCGGAAAACGTAAGAGATTATTTTGGACAAATGAAGAAGAGAGAGTTCTCAAGGTATATGTTTCGTAAAATATCATATTTTCCTAAAACTTAATGAATTATTTGTATCAAGCTCTATCAATGTCAAATGGGTTGAAACTTCAAACAAAAGTTTTCATTTCAAATATATAACCATTGTTAAAAACCATATAATGTACATGTACTACCTCCATTTAAGTATATGATTCTGAGTTTGTGAAAAGTAGACATGTCTTCATCCCATGATTAAACTAAAGAACATTATATCTTTGGCAGTTGAATTGGTGCGGAAAGAATAACCTTAATTAGCATGTCTATCCAACAACCATGAAGAATGGTTTTACTTAGGCTGTTGATCAATGTAATTAGAAAGCGGGGTATCTAAGGCCATCTAAAGGATTTGAATTTTCTTGGGTAAATTGATAGCACAAAATAGGTGAATTAAAAGTTGAATTGATGTATTTGAAGGTACAGCTGAAATGCACAAAATAAGAGGGATATTAGTGTCATGCTGGTTGCATGATTTTCATCATAAAACCTAAGAGAGAGCAATATGCTCTCCTATAATTCACAAGTCTGTTAATTCTATCATGGAAATTCAAAAATTACTAAAATACCTCTATGTTTAACTGTAATATTAACCAAATAAACATTTTTTGAATTTCATGTTCTTAATATTTGTGATCTAATAATGTCTTCAGAATATTACAACCAACCCATCTATCATTCTAAAACACTTATTTGGAGACTAGAATATTGAGGCAACTTTCAACTTATGCTTTTCTTTGTGCTTGTATTTCCACTTTCCAGCATGTGGGTGCAACATTCATGATAAGATGCTATGACCTTTGACATTAAATCCAATTTAATATCTCTACCTGATTGAGATGGATGGCATACTGGTTTTTCTATGGGAAGAACAATGAAGAATCTATTTCTTTTCATTCATCCCATTTAGATTTTATTTTTATTTTTTTTGTAATGTCCTGTGTATTTAGGATTTGTTTGGAAAGCTTCCAATTTCCTATTAAACATTTTATAAAGATTTTTTGTTTCTCTAAGTTATTATGAACCTTGAAGTTGTGAAACATATATAATCAGTTATGGAACTTTTCCCATTGGACAAGGTATTCATCTAAGAAACTATAGCTGCACAAGGCTTTTATTTGTCAATTATAGCATTAGCTTTGGTTCTCACATTGCAGGCAGGAGTATTAAAGTTCTCAACAGAAAATCAGAAGATCCCTTGGAAGAAAATTTTGGAATTTGGTTGTGGTGTATTTGACAAGACTCGTACTCCTATTGATCTCAAGGATAAATGGAAGAACATTATCTCCAAGAAAGGTCGACTCACTAATTGTAGTTGTGATCATGATTTATATATTAAGTGATATTTAAGTAATGATTTCATTGTTTGTTTTCTATCATTTATGGTCTTGAAATTATGGTTTTTTAGCTGGCAAGTGTCTTTAATAGGAGACTTCATGGATAACTATATGAAAGAATTCTTAAACCATCTTTTGTTACATTGTAAAGCAATTATTTTCCTTTGGAACAAACAATCTTTTTGGGGTTCTTGGGATATTGGGGATATCTTTCAACTTTGGAGTGCTTTTTGACAATTCTGTATGAAGGCTTTCTGATGGGATCCTCCCAAAACAGAACCACACTAGACAATATAGAAGATAAGAGAAAACAAGAACTCAGAAGGGTATTATTCAAGATTTTTTAAAGAAACAAGCACACAACACAAGTGTACCCCAAAGGAGCACTCTTCTTTCACACTGGTAAAATCCAGTAGAAACTAACAATTAGAAAAATATATTTCCACCTCTACATCCAGAGGGTTATTTATAGCCAGTACTGAAACTTCTAATCTGCCCTTTTATTTTTCCTCCTATAATATACCCATAAGGCCTGTTTGGGAACTACTTTTTCATGCCTAACAGTACCTCGCTCCTGTGAACAACCTTGTCCTCAAGGTTGAAATTTGAAAATTGACTGTTGATGGGTTAAGACTTTTTCCAAGTAACTTCCTCTACTGGTTTGTCGTGCCACTGAATCAAAACTTGCTGGCTTTGAGTGCCACACTTAATGACTGTGCGGCTGCCTAAAATCCGTGTAGGTTGATAACTCATGGTTATCCCTTGAAGTTCTGCTTCCACTGCATGATCTCCCGCTGCCTTTTTCAGCTGCAACACGTGGAAAACCTAATGGTTCCTGAGCTGTTTAGGGAGCTATAATTTGGAAGCCACAGTCCCTGTTTGCTTCAGGACCAAATATGGACCATAATATTGAGCCGACAGTTTGGGATGAAGTTTTGCAGGCATTGAAACATCAGTGAGGTCTGATCTTTAGATACACCCAGCCCACCACTTGTATTTTCATTGGTTTCCTCTGAGCATTAGCATAATGAGTCATCTGAAATTTGAGCTGTTTGAGTGCCTCACTGTCTGGAAAAGAGACTGAGCCACCCTTCAATAAGTTCGATACACTCTATGTCCTCCCAAGGGCGATGAGAGGAACACTTTTAGAAACTTGGGAATCCATGTTGAGGTTGCTGCCAACACTAATCTACCCTTGTAATATAGCCTCCCATTCTCCAAGGTGTATTGAGCATGAGAGTTAGGCTTCAAGTTTAGCGCTTCAATTATCTTTGCCAACCCTGGATCAACCTTTACTTCCTCGTCGATTTCTATGATATCTTGCCAATATGGTCTGGATATAAGCTGCAATTCCCTGGCCTCTCTCCATCTTAAGAGCACATTAACCATTGGGGATGACAAAATGTACCTAGACCTTATGGGTACCCGCAAAAAGTATCCTCAATGAAAAGGGTAAAAATCCGCATAATGGGGTGGGCTGTGGAGTGGGGATTTATCTGCAGAATTCAATGGGGATGGGGTGGGTACGGGTACAATAGTACCCACTTTGTCTCTCCACACCTTTATTTATATATAATTAATTAATTAAATAAAAATATCTTATATTATAATATAAAATCTTAAGTTAAATTTTAAATATTATTTTAGATAGTTTAAACCTTAGTCTTTGTCATGTTTTAGTTTTTTTTAGGTATTATTAGGCCAAAATAATATTTAAACTTCATAGGTAAAGCACAATGATGAAACGAATATATAATCTGTATAATATATATATCTATGATGCACGGATACGATATGTGTATTGGATACGATACATATCCGATATGACGATATGTCAAGTTTTGAAAATATAGGATATGATACGTATAGGATACATATTAAAAAAATTAAATTAATATATATAAAATAGTAATTGCAAATAAATATCATTCAAAAATCAAAATTAAGAATACATTTCTTGCTTTTTAATTTTTAAACATTACTAAAAAAATTAGAAAACATTTTTTATTGTAAAGAAATAGGAATAATATCAATTTCATCCCCTCCTTGACCATCATCTGTAAATAAAACAACTTCCATTTCTGGTTCATCAAGAGATAATGATGCCATTTCAAGATTTTCAACACTATCCAAGGTTATCAATAACGGATAATGGTCTATGGTGGTAAGCCAATAATTCGCCATAAACATATGGCGGATGGCATGGCGGCTTATGATGGATGCCATGGCAGATGGCAGACAAAAATAATTACTATATATATATATTAAAAACAAAACCAAAAATAAAAAAACAGACTTTTAGGATGCATGACTTTAGTGTTGGGTGCTTTCTGCTTACCATTGTGCTATAAGTGAAACAAAATTGGGAACAACATTGTAGGTTTAATATAGAAAACAACATAACAGAACATGATAATGAAATTCTAAAATATAGATAACTAAATTCCAAAATTTTGAAAAATTGAGAACAAAAACATTGAACAGATGAAGAACAAAAACAATCCCACAAAATAAGAGAGAGATAGAGAGAGAGAAGAGAGAGAAAGAGACGATGAACATCTGAAGAAATGAAAAATAGATGGAAAAAACAAAGAAAAATAAAGAAATGGAAGGAAGAAGAAAAAACAAACGGAAAACAAAAAGAACTCTTATGGGTCACTGGATTTGTTGGCCGGAAAACTTTCTGGAACTTAGGCCGCTATGGTTCAGGTTGTTGGAGGCTAGTGGCCTAAGAAGGCTCACCATAGTTGTTTTTAGGAGCTTCACAAGAGAAAAGATGAGAAAAAAAACAGAGGATGAGGAGGAATTCCGCCATAAGCGTCATGAGGCCATGGCTATGGCGGATATAGCAGGTGCCATGGCGGATATAGCGGGCGCCATGGCGGGTTCCATGGCGGATATGGCGGATGCCGCTATATAATGGGAAATAACGGAGAGCAAATGATGGAAGGGTTCAAAAACACCACGTTATACCTTTATAGCAGCACCATAAAGGTTATTTGATAACATTGACACCATCAAAGATACCCTATGCATCTCCACCAATGTGTTATATCAGAAAGTGAGGCAAGGACAGAATTGGAAAGTTTTTCAGTGGGTGGGGATTTTGTTAGTGGCATTGGACAGCTGGCAAGTAATACACAGGAGGTGGAGCACAGGACCAGTAAGAGAGAGAATAACGAATTCACGTTTTCGGGATTATGTGTGGGGTCTCAATTAGATTTATGGGGAGGTGGTAACGGAAGGGGTGTCATGCTTCTTGTCCATAGTATTTCTCTTTCTTTGATTCTCTGTATTTGCTAGAGATAGCAAACTTCCTTTCCTTGTTAAAAAGATCCATGATACGTAAATAATACACAGAGAACATATTCAGTCATTCACTCAATACACTGCCATTTTCATTGATTCGTCCATTCTCATAAACTTCCATCATTACATTGGTGCTTTCATTCCAATTCCATGGCGGAAAACATACGTTTGAAGGAATTGACTTCCGATGTCAAGAATTTATCAGCTGATGTCAAGCGGTTGCTTGAAATGATGGAATTGCGTCATGTGGAATATGCAAACCGGTTTGAAAAAATGGAAGCTGGAATCCAGTCCCTGAACTTAACTGGTGCTGCTTCGGCATCCTCTGGTCCAGTGATTTCGGGTTCCTCTGCACCTCCATTCCAGGTTCGTAATGTCAAACTTGATTTTCCTCGATTAATGGAGCTAATGCATTGGAATGGATTTTTAAGGCGGAGCAGTTTTTTACATATTATAATACCCCTGATGAACAACGCTTAACAATTGCTGCTATGCACATGGATGCGGATGTGATACCGTGGTTCCAAATGCTTTCTAACAACAACCCATTTCAATCATGGGTGGGATTTACCAGAGCATTGGAAATAGAATTTGGTCCCTCTCCGTATGAATGCCCACGTTCTACTCCGTTTAAGCTCAACCAACTAGGTTCAGTCCAGGAATACTATCGTGAATTTACTTCCTTGGCAAATCGCGTGTACGGGGTCACTCCAGATGCCTTGTTAGATTGTTTCATCAGTGGTCTTAAGTCTTAAATACGTAGGGATGTCATTGCCCAGGACCCTACGTCTATGGTTCGAGCGGTTTCATTGGCCAAACTGTACGAATAAAAATATAGCCCTAAACAGAAAAATTACCTACACCAACCATATTCCAAATCTACCTCTCCAACTTTAAGCCAAACCCACAAAACCAGTAGCCTTCCTCCATTATTACCTAATCCTACCAACATACAACCCACCACACAAAATCCCAGATATTCAAATGTCAGAAACATGTCCACTGCTGAGATGCAATTAAGGCGCGAAAAGGGCCTATGTTTTACTTGTGATGATAGGTTCACTCCAATGCACCGTTGTCCTAACAAAAAATATTTGTTATTACATATGGAGGGAGATGAGGAAAATGTTGGGGAACCAGAGCCACCTGATGAAGATACAGATAAAACTCAGGATGTGACTATGGATCATCATTTGTCTTTTAATGCTCTAAAAGGGGGATCAGGTGTTGGAACTATGAAATTTCAAGGCTCTATAAATGGTGTGGCAGTTCAAGTTTTACTTGATAGTGGGAGCTCAGATAATTTTTTACAACCAAGACTTGCAAATTCTCTTAAATTGCCTGTGGAATCAACTTCTGGTTTCCAAGTTTTGGTCGGCAATGGTCATGCATTGACAGTTGAAGGAATGATAAAAAAGGTGGAGGTGCAGATTCAGGGGCATGTGTTACGCTTGCCTGTGTATCTTTTACCAATTTCAGGTGCAGATCTAGTCCTGGGTGCAGCTTGGCTAGCAACTTTAGGACCTCACATATATGACTACAGTGCCTTGACTCTTTAAGTTTTATCTGGATGGAAACTTTATCACTTTGCATGGGAATCGGAATAAGTTACCCGTACAGGCTTAGTTTAATCACATTCGCCGAATGAAT